TGGATGATTTTATATCCATGCTCAGATGCCAAGGAGCTCAGAAAGTAAGCGACTGTGACTAGTAATAATCAGATATACAGAGATTAGAAATGCATGTGCATCTTAGCGTCAATTGTATTAAAAATGAATTTCTGTATGAGAATATGTATTTTAATAATGAAATGGAGATCGTTTTTAAAGTTTAAAACCTCATTTAATTTTGTGTCTCATAGGGTTTATACTGAGTACAATATTGTATAACTGTATTAATTCAACTGTAAACCTAAAAATTTACAGCCAGTTTTGTAAGAGATGCATCTTAGCTCTGGAAATTGTTATTGAGTATGTCAATGCCGTTGTAATGAAATGCTTCTTCTAATTACATGGTTATTAAATAAATAATTTTTAAAAATCATCTCTCTTTCCACTTCCGATTCTCAGCATTTTCTCCCCTACCACAATCAGTTGTACGATCGACAAGGATTCAAGGGGCTGAGCAGAGGCCAGCAGACATTAGGCATTTAGTAAATTAGCTATTACAGTTGCTGTCCCTGAGGTGACTGTATCATTCTGGGGTCTGGGGTCTAGCTTACCACATTATTATAATCTTGCTTATGTCCCTGTCTCCCCTGTTTGTGGTGTGACCCTCCAGGACACACTGGTGTCCATACTAAACCCCATACCTGTGGTATGCTTGCAGTTCTGACATAAGCAATATGATGGCTAATACTCACTGTGGTGCGGATGTATAACCAGATGACCTAACTTTAGTGTGGAAAACCAGAGGCTGGTCCACCATGATGCTCTTCACAGCTGTATGAAATGATTGAAAAGAAGCAGCAAACATTTAACACCATAATTGCTCTGTGCCAGAAAAAGAACATAGTCTCCTAAAAACAGAAAAATCTAAACAGAATCAGTCTCTGGCCTATGAAATTAAGAAGCTCCACCCAGAAGTCAAACCAAGGAATACCAGCCAAAATTTAATCAGAAGATTAAAGGAACAAGAAAATCATCTAAACTACTATGTGTAACACCATATATTTCAAATGCATCTGCTCAGTGCAGAGTCCCTGTTGGAAGAACACAGGAATGAACCATAGCACATAGACTCAACCTGATAAGGATTCCACTGAGAGGACAACAGTGCACACGCACAGTGTGGTGCAACACTGGCAGGCTGACCCGCCTCACAGATCAAATTCAAGGGTTTAATGGTTTCCCATCCCTCAGAATGGGAACTCCAGATGCTAGGGGTCCTAGATAAGGGAGGTGAAGTACATCATGCAAGCCAGGCCTAGGATCTGGAAGAGGCCTAGCCAGGAACCAGAGGGAAGGCTCACTGGCACAGAGGGACACCTTCATGGAAGGTGAGAACTTAACGTAGATGCGAGATGTATAAGGAGAATGTATCAGTGAGCTGACTGGAGCCTTGATCTTCTTTTTTTTTTT